ATACTCAATCCATTGAGCCACACCCGCCGGGACTTACTTTTCCTTTTAATGGCCCCAAGAGGGATAGGATGCGGATCTCAATGAAACCTGGTCCAGGACTAGAGGTTCCCTCTTAAAACAATATCCAGCGACTTCTTTGCAAAGGCCATTGGATATATAGGTTTGGGAGAGAGTAAGACAATGGAAGGGGAAGGCTGCTCAGAACCCTGCTCCTCTTGTGCACCCAGCCTATCCCAGCTATCAGGGAACCTGAGTTTTCAGCACTGGACGATGGCTTCCTTGAGGACAAGATGGATTGCATGTGGGGGTGAGGCTCAGGGGTACAGCTGAAACCACCTAGTCAAGAACCCTGCTTAACAAATATTCCTGGAATATAACTAAAGTGAAATGTAGGAGAAAATTCATTCAGGAAGGGAGGTGGGACTGTGGAGATATTCATTTATTCTACAAACATTGACTGAGCATATAACCCACTTGCCAGCAGTGTGTTGAGGATGCAGACAGATGTTTCTTGGTTGTGTGCTGAGAGCAGAGCCACTGGTGAGAACAACTGTGTTTATGGGAGGAGTCGGGAAGCATCCTGCCTTCTCTGGCCTTCTATGCCCCTCTGACTTGGTGCTGAGGCAGGTTATAGGAGATCTAAGGCCCTCCCAGCTCAGGTATCTGTATTCTCAGCCTCAACCTTGTCTCACTGTCAGGACCTGTTCTGAGGCTCAGTCTCACACTTCCTGCAAAGCCATATGCTCTTTATCATGATGTATGTATAATCGAAATCAAATTATTCCTTCCCTCCCTGTGTGGCTAGCCTACTCCCAACTCATTCCCGCAGCAGCCTGCATCTGAATGCTTTGCTGCAGATAAAAGCAGGGTATAAATGACTACTGTGTGGCTACACTGATAACATTGCAAATACAAGCCCACTAAGAGACAGGACTGGTCTACTCCTATGCTGAATGTTTCCACCTCTTTTTAGCCATTATGTCTGCTTTTTATAATTTTCTGTCTCCTCCCTTGCTATCAGGCTACCAGTTATCTGTGAAACTGTCTCTGAAAGTTCAGGTCCATCAATATTTATCATTCACCAACTATATATCAGGTTCCATGCAGACCCCAACTAATTGCTGCATCTATAGGTTAAAAGATCACATGATTGTGGGTAAAATTGGAGTTCATAGGCCCTAACTAAAAGCTATGGGCCATCCAGTGTAAGTAAAGTATATGAGCTTTAGTGTAAACTCTTAGCTACTCAAAAATAACTTTTGTTTTGGAACAGAATAGAGAACCCAGAAATCGACCCAAGTCATTATGCTCAATTAATATTTGACAAAGGAGGCAAGACCACACAGTGGAGTAAAGACAGTCTTTTCAGTACATGGTGTTGGGAAAATTGTACAGATACATGCAAAAAAATAAAACTAGACCACCAACTTATACCATACACAAGAATAAACTCAAAATGGATAAAATACTTAAATGTAACTCATGAAACCATAAAAATCCTAGAAGAAAATCTAGGCAGAAAAATCTCAGACATCTTATGTAGCAGAATTTTCACCAATATGTCACCTAGGGCAAGAGAAGCAAAATAAATAAATAAATAAACAAACAAACAAATGGGACTATAAACCTTCTGCACAGCAAAAGAAACCAGCATCAAACAAAAAGGGAACCCACAGTATGGGAAAACATATTTGCCAATGATATGTCAGATAAGGGCTTAATTTCCTAAATATATAAAGTACTCATATAATTCAACAAAATGAAAACAAACAACCCAGTTAAAAAATGGGCTGAGGACCTGAAGAGACACTTCTCCAAAAAGTACATACAGATGGCCAAGAGACATATGAAAAAATGCTCAAAGTTACTAATCATCAGAGAATGCAAATTAAAATGACTATGAGGTATCACCACACACTTGCCAGAATTGCTATCATCAACAAATCAACAACAATTGCTAGTGAGGATGTGAGAAAAGGAAACCTTAGCTCACTGCAGACTGGTGCAGCCACTATTGAAAATATGGTGTTTCCTTAAAAAACTAAAAATGGAACTGCCATTTGACCCAGTAATCTTGCTACTAGGAATAGATCCTAAGAAGCCTGAAAAACCAATCAGAAAGAGTATACACACCCCTATGTTTATAGCAGCAATATGTACAACAGATAAGATCTGGAAGAAGCCGAAGTGGCCATCAGTAGATGAGTGGATAAAAAAGCATGTACACAATGGAATACTATGCCTCTGTAAAAAAAAAAAGGATCTCTTACCCTTTGAGACAGCATGGAGGGACCTGGAGAGTATTATGCTAAGCAAAATAAGCCAGTCAGAGAAAGACAAGTATCACATGGTCTCACTTATTTGTGGAATCTAATGAACAAAATAAGCTGACAAACTAAATAGATCCAGAGACATGAAAGCAGGGAACAGACTGACAAACCTCAGAGGGAAGAGGGGTATGAAGGCCCAAAGAGATAAACCAAAGAACATATATGCATATATGCATAACTAATGAACGCTGATAATAGTGGAGGGAGGGCATGGGAGTGGGGAGGAGGGGACCAATGGGGAAAATGAAGGGACATCTGTAATACTTTTGCAATAAAGCTAAATTTAAAAAATGACTTTTGTTTCTCTTTTTACTTGGAGCTAGTGCCAGAAACAGGGCTGGTGACATCTGTGTTTTGGAAAGTTGAAGTTACCGGATAACTGAAATGCTAGTATTAGATATGATTTTTCTAGTTCTAGGGTTTCCTTCCACTATTAAAGTCTAGTCATTTTCAGTGTGCTGTCAGGCTGCAGGGTTTAATGGTATTGCCTTGGGCTGGGATAGGGGGAAAATAGGGAAAGGGGTAGGTTGATCTCTGTCCCTAAACATCCCCATGGCAGCTAGATATATATCTTTTGTGTTTTACAGATATGTGTGTAAATTGAGATTCCAGGTATTTCTGTCAACCTTGTCTAATCTTCTTACTTCTTTGAGAGGTAGGAAGTACAGAATTTTTCTGTCCATTTCACCAATGTGGCCCCAAATTTAATGATTTGCCATGTTGATAGAGAATAATGAAGCACCCTGATTGAGAACCCAGGCACTGAAGCCCAGCCTGCTGCGGTTCAATCCAAGCTGTGTGATCTTGGGCAAGTTCCTTAAGCTCTTTGTGCCTTAATTTTTTTCCCTCTGAGTAATATGGATAAGAATAACATCTATTTCATTGCCGTAAATAAGTGACTTGACACATGGTCTTGTGAGTGTTAGTTGTGCTTCATGGGCTGAGGGCTCAGGGAGAGGTGTTAGAATTCAAAGCCCTGGGAGCAATAATGCTGACAATGACCTTTGGGGCATCTGCCCAGGCTCATCTGACAAGATCCCACTGATCATGTTTCTCTCCCTCCCAACTCTGGCCTTCCCTAAGGAAGCTGAACCCTCAAGTCAGGCCCAGGGAGCCAGCAGTGGAGGACAGGAGGCACCTGGAGGCCATGAAACCCACAGTGGCTCAGAGGTGGGGCAAGTGCAGAGTGTGGCAGGATGCCACCCAGGAAGCTGCTTTCTTGCTGCTGCTTCTGTTGTTGTTGTTACTGCAACACCCTGCTCCCTCATACACCATCCCCTACTGCCCAGATTCTGCCTATGGAAGGTGGGCTCAGGCACTCTGGCCTGGGACAGATGTCCTGAAAGTAAAACAATCAGGGTCTCCTGGCCTGCTCTGTACTACAGAGCAACCTGCATTTCTAGGCCTTTCCACTTTCCCCAATCTTGTACTCCAAGTCAGAGCAGTGATGTGGTGACTCACCACTCCTTGCCTCTCCCATTGCAGCCACCCCCCTTTCGTTATCCTCAGCTGCCAGCCCTGTGTGTGGGATGGGCTGAGCCAGGTCTGTCTCCATTGGCTTCTCTGGGCTGGTCTCACTCCCTCTTTGTAGAGATGGGGAAACAGAGGTCCAGAGAGTCACAGAGTGCCCTCCCCAGGCAGCCCTCTGCCCACTGCGAGGTCAGTGTAAGCATGACGCAGGTCACTTACATGCAGGCGCTAGGCCCCAGAAAAGGACCCAGGGAGAAGAGGCTTTTGGCTGGAGCAAAAGGCCAGGGAGTCCTCTACGGGGCTGAAAGGAGGGGTGGGGCTTGTGACTGTCATATTCCTCAGCTCTAACCAGAGGTCTCAGCTTTTCCCCATGAGTCACTGGTGACAACCAGAGGTTCAGGAACAGAGGGGAAGGCTGAGGGACAGCTGGAAAAAAGCTGAGGGGATCCAGGCCCTAAACTGGCCTTGCAGGCTGTGTGGTCTGGGCCAAGCCATTTAACCTCCACAAACCAGATGGGTACTATTCTCTCATGGCATAAAGGACTTGATTTATACTTGCAGTGAATTTAAGAAAAGAGAGGAAGGAATTGCCCAGCCCTGCTGCCTCTTCAGAGGGTCCTTAAGGGCTGCAAGGAAAGGGGGTTGGGTGAGGGAAGAAAATTACCATTTGAATGCCAGCAAGGTGTTGGAGACTTTATTACATTCTATCACCTTATTTAATCCTCCCATTATTAATATTTATCTCTACTATGTAGATGGGGAAAATGAGGATCAGAGAGGTAAAATGACTTGTCCAGCCTTTAAACAACAGAACCAAGATCCAAATTCAAGTTTGTTTTGTTCCCAAACCTGTGACCCATTCCCTTCTTTGCTTCACATGGCCTCCCCAAACTCCCACCCACATATTAGATTCTTCTCAAAAGATCCTGCTATGGGGAGAGGGTCACCTGGAGGAAAAATCAATCCTGGGAGTACAGGGGATATACCCCAGGCTGAGGAACCCCTTTATCTTCCAACTCAGAAGGGATGGTGGCTCAGGTCATCTCCACAATTAATACCAAAAATTAACCACTATTTTTATGAGAAAACTTCTCTTCTCTTGAAACCACATCCCCATCAACTGTCCTGGGAAAATTTCAGCCAATCTGCCCTCCCTGGGGCCCATTCCACTTGTTCAACTCCCTGACAATCTTCACTCACCCAAAAGGCATCTCTGAACTGAAGCTGGGGCATCATCCTCAGGCTGCCACGACAAACTTTTCTCTCCTCCCACAGACAGGGCTGAACGAGGTCCAAGAGCCAGGCACACTGTCAGAGTCCTGATTGCGCTGGCCCAGGCCTCCCAACTTGGCTGGTGCTGTCTGCAGTACCTCAGAAGGCACCCACAGCCAGAGACGAGCTGCCAGAGGGTAGAAAAGGGCTCAGTCTGTTTTGTTTGGGCTAGAATCAGCAGCAAAATGAGGAAGGAGCAGTGCTCAGTGATGGGAGGGCGGGTCCTAGTTTCCGGCCCGGCCTCTCACCAGCCCCATGGTGATGGAGGACTCAGTCCAGGCTGCAGGACTGAGCAGGGATGATAGCCCCAGGTGGGAGGCAGTGACCAGCAGGAGAGGCAGGCCACGGTGGGCAGGCAGCATGAGTCTGTGAAGAAAGGTTTGTGTCGCTGGAGGCAGGCATCAGGTCCCTTACAGACAGGAAGTAGAGCTGCTATGTTCCCCTATACAGCTCTGACTGCCACTTGCCACCCTGCTGCCCTCCTCCACTTGCCCCTTTCTGATGCCCTCACTGGGCCATTCTCAGAGGCCATAAACTTAGGGAGCCTGAAGCCACTGAGGGTGTGGGCAAGGAGGGGCCAGGAATCTGGGTGCTGTTGCTCACCACTCCAGCCTCATTTCAGACCAGGCACATAAATCCAGACTCTTCACCCCTTATGAGAAAACCATTTGGGAGGGGCTTCCTCAGGACTAGGACATTACTATCACTCATCAAACCCTGGACGCATGGTGTCCCAATCCACATCTTGCCTTCAAAAAGCTGAAGGCAGACATAGCTGTGTGCTGGGGGCTGTAGGGACACTGAGGTGGGGTGAGTGGGTAACTGGCCAAGGGAGAACAGCTTGATACTTTATGGACACTGACCTTCTTCCCACCCCCAGTCTCCAGATTAGACACTTTCTGGGACAGGAAGCCCCTCTAAAGATGAGTCTTCAGGCTAGAAGAAAGTAGTTGAACCAAGAGAGAGAGTGTTATAAAGGCACAGAGGTGGGAGTTTGAAAACCCAGATGGAGGCCCACTTTCTGTTTTGTCTGGACCCCACCCTTCAGTCGTTGAGGGATCTTATACTATGAGCTTCCATTTCCCCATCTGCCATTCTTAATCTTTGGAATGAAGAAAGTGTTGAAACCATCACTGGAGTTTCTGGTTCAGTTGGGCAGGTGCTGGGGCAACTTGAGAAGAGCTCTGGACTGGAACCCCAGACACAGACCCAAGTGAGCCATGGCCTGCCCACTAAGCAGAAGATGCAGGTGTGAGGGCCTGATCTCAGGGCCAGTTGCAAGTAGGGATGAGTCTGCTTGTCCACCCTCATGGAGCACCCTCATTGATTAGGTTAGAGATAGGGGACACCTAAGAGATCAGAGAGAATTGCAGAGCAGTGGGGATGTCCGTGTAGAGTCCTTCAGTTTGAGCTAATAAACATCTTCAGCATTGAAGGTACCGCAGTTGCTTGCAACTGAAGACAGCTGTGAAACCTGAGGAAAATAAAAGACCTACTAAGAAGGGTTTCCTGGTAGCTAACTGGGCTCAAATTTTAAAAAGCAGAGACCAGTAGCCATTTCTGCATGGGGGCCTCTCACCAAACTGCACTTCACAAAGAAGCCTCTGCACTAAATGGCACTTCATAGAGAAGCCTGTGCTGAACTGACTGTCTTACTGTACTGTTTCTGTCATCTGAGCCAGTCCTCATAAAGGAGTTCCAGGAATCCTATTGTAACCAATAGGACTGAGGCTTTGCCCATCCAATCAGAGCTGCACAGCTCTGACCAATCAGAGTGACTCTATTCTGACCAATCAGGACAGTGCCTTTGAGCCAATCAAACTGTGAGGATTTGGAGTCCTCATTTAAGCAGACAGACCAATCAGGGAACAGGGGTGGGGACTCTTGTCCATATAAGCCAGCTTCCCTCTGACTTGGAGCAAATTTTCCCTTTCTCCCAAAGATTCTGGTTCCCTTGCTGAGCCGAAACTCTGCATTTTCTCACCAGAGCAGAACTGCCTGGCTGAAAAAAGCCTGGTCCCAGGGCTGCCTCACAGCTGTGCTGTTTTCACAACTGTGCTTTTTTCACAGCCATGATTTATAACTGTTGCGCTGTTTGTGTTGAATGAAGTTTTCTTCTTCACTAAGCCCTGCCAGGTGGCTGGCTGTGAGAACTAATTTTGCATTATTCAATCCTTGGACCTACTCCTTCTTGAATTCTTCAAATACCATGCAGAACAGTATGGCAAATTGAAGAGTAATTAAAAAACTGTGTTTTGGGGGACTGGATTCTTCTCACCAGGGGGCTGGTGACAGGAGGAAGCCAAAGAGCATTTCCCTTTCCTGAGGGGTGCTCAAATAGCTCTGTCCTGCTCCTCCAGCTCCCTGATGCCCCATCAATCTATCCTCCCCCACATTCAGCCTGCCCCATGCGGGCCTCATCCATCTCTCATAAATATTACAACTTCTGGTCTCATCACCTCTGAACCACTGGAGAGATCCTTCTAGAACCATTCTGTGGGCCCCTCAAGGCAAAGATCTACCTCCTCTTTGAGCCCCAGTCCCTGCACAGTCTGGCAGGAGTTGGTGCCCACAATGTTTATGGTCCTGGTTGAGAGAAGGCTGTGGTGGTCATGGTGGTTGGCTCGCAGCATCCATAAGACCCCAATCAATGAGGGTGATATATAAGCATGTAACTAATTTCTGGCCAATGTGACACTAGGGGAGGTCTACTGGGAGGTTGGGGATTGGGGGAGGAGAAGAAGAGGGACTTTGGGGAAAATGGGACACAAGGAAAGGTACCCTTAATGGTGGATAGCATTATTGTTTTCGTTGTTTATTTGGCTCTCAAGGATGGATGAAGTGCTAGCCACCATTAAGGGTTTATTAATAGTTTAAGGGCCTGCACTATATTCTGGATTTCATTGGTTGCTCTCTTCCACCATGACTGGGGTCAATGCAAAATGAATATGTAGGGCCTCTTAATTAAAAAAAGGGAAAAAATGCTATTAAAGGAACTAAAATATAAAGACTTTCCTTTCCCAGTTCTCTCAACCTGACATGGTTCTTTATTTGCTATTTCATGTTACACTCCTCGGGCATGGGAATACTTTGGGGACAAAAGCACCTCACTTCTTGACTTGCTTCTGTGTGAAACCTACCAGCTGCTGAGTTTACCCTTCTGCCAGCCATCAGACTGCATTCCCCAGCTGGGGGCAGGGAAGTTAAGACAAGCATTGTTCTTTCCCATGGCGTATTGCAATCCCCATGGACATTGCATCTCTGCTGAGAGCAGCGGGTGACAGTGATTGTTAGGCAGGAGTTGAGAACACATTCAGGGGAGATGGGTAGGAGGCAGACCACACATGAGCTGAGGCTCCAAGTTCTTGATGCATGCTTCATTGTTCCATTAGACTTCACTTACAAAACAAATTTAAAGATAATATTAAGGATTTCAAGATGGTAACTGCCAGAGCATTAAGCCCTAAGCTCAGGGCCCTTCTGAGTGACAGAGCCCTGTGTAGTTGTGCATCCTTAAAGTCAACCCTGTTCACTATTGTCTTTTTTCCACACAACAGAGTGATATTTTCAGACCCAGATTTGATCATATACCTTGCTATGATTTCCCATTGTTTTCAGAACAGTGGCCTTTGTCCTTACATAGCTTATAAACTGTGTGTGATCTGGCCCCAGCCTACCTTTCAACCTCATTTCATAGAGAAAGAATCTGAAGCAGTAGCTTGGAGCCTTCTAGAGAGGGAAAAAGACAGCAGAGGAGCAGCTCAAAGCTCCTTGGTGATATCAGGAAGCCAGAAGGCCCTTATCATAAATTTCATTTAGAAAAAGCATTGCTACTGGTCCAAGGGACATTTGTTTTGTCCTTTTCATTGCTAATGTGCTGTCTTGATATCTGCCATTCTCTAGGCAGGCCACATGATACATGTATCTCCTTCCTGGAGGAGCAGGGTACATTGCCATGATGCTGGCTATGGCTCCATAACTGAATTGGAATGTTTCTGCACCTGAAAATTGTGGTTCACTGTTTTGGGGGGCAATACCTACAAGGTGGCCAGAGGCACATGTTTACTGAGCTGGGCTCCTACTCTCACCTCCACCTACCCTGCTCCAGAAGAAAACAAGCCCCACTGTAGTGTATTCATCCACAAGCATTTACTGAGCCTGTCTAGGCACACAGAAATGAACAAGGAAAACTTTCTGCCAAACTGCTGGGGGTGGCCATCCAGGAGGGGAAATGTGCTGTTGGCAGGAGAGCAATGGGTGCAAGGAGAGAGGCTCTGCTGAGTAACTGGGCCTGTGGAGGCCTCCCACAGGAGGAGAGCTGGGGCCTTATTAATGAGAAGGAACTAGCTGGTGAGACCAAGCAGGAAAGGAATTCCATCATAACCATAATAGGCTGCTGCGTCTCACTGCATCAGGCCATATGCTAAGTATTTCACATGTCTTAGGTCTCACTTAATCTAGCAGACAAGGAAACTGACACTCAGAGAGATCAATTAATTGTCAGAGTCCCATATTCCTAAATGGTGTCTTTCCTTCCTAGAGTGTAGGGCTGAAGGTGAAGGGCCAGGCTAGGGTCTGGGGTAGAAACACAAAAGTAGCGAGGGGTAAGAAAGGAAGTCCCCAGCTGAGGAAAAAGTGCAGAGGACAGGGGCCATGTGGGATGGGGGTAGGGCTACCACATGGTAAATCTAACACTGAAAGATATCCCAGCTCCTTGGTTGGGGCTGAGGGTGTGGCCCTCAGCACTCAGAATGTGACATAGATTCTGGTTTTCAGTTTAGCCTGGAAAAGGGGTTGCAAAAAATAAAGCTTCTTCACACTTACACAGCTCTTCTGAGTTGACAGGAGCTTTCAGATTCACTAACTTTCAGCCACAAGAGTATAATTCTGAGTTTCCAAGCACTGTCAGTATTTAAAAGCTAGGGTGCTGGTCAGGATCTTTGAAAGACATCAAAGAAGTGTAATGTGGCCAGTAGGCAGCCTGCAGAGTAACTGGAACATAGGCCCAGTGGATGTGGTGGAAGTGTTCCTTCAGTGAGGGCCAAGAAGTACCTTACCACCAACTCACAAGTCAGAGCACAGTGGCCTGCACTGATGAAAAGGCCTTCAGAGACCATCTATAGGAATCTGCCAGAGCCCTGTGGAACTTTGTAGAAAAATATAGGGCCAGGCCCGAACTTAGACCTACAAACTGAGTGGGAGCCAGGCAATGTGCATAGTTTTTAGGTTTCATAAGTGAGTCAGACACATACTCTTGCTGTTGCCTTACTGCTTCACTTTAGAGATGGGGAAACTGAAGGCCAGTGGGACAGAATTACTGACCTGACTGTAACAGAGA